GATCGACAGTGTAGTAAGAAGGTCACTAATAACGGAGATGGAAAATGGCTCTGCGAAAAATGTGATCAGATTGTTGATGAATGTGATTATCGATACATTCTCCAGTTCCAGATTCAGGACCACACCGGATTGACTTGGGTTACTGCTTTTCAGGAAAGCGGAGAGGAGATGATCGGTGTATCTGCAAAAGATTTGTATCTCATAAAATATGAAGAGCAAGATGACGATAGGTTTCAAGAAATCATGCGTAGTGTACTTTTCAAGAAGTATATTTTCAAACTGAAGGTGAAGGAGGAAATGTTTGGTGATGAGATACGTGTGAAATCCACAGCAGTGAAGGTGGAGAAGGTGAATCTCCAAACAGAAACCAAATATGTTCTGGATTTGATTGATAAGTTCAATGTGTCGGGCGAATCAAATTCTCTGGCTCCAAATGCTGGAAATGCAGTTTCAAATTCGGCTGGGATGAACAATGTGGGGTTCGGAAGTGGGTTTAGAGAAAGCGCGAGTAATGTAATGAACTATGGTGGCAGTTTGACAAGCAGAGTGCAGCCAGCAGATCAAACCAGTCCATATGGAAACAAATATGGTGGATCTAGGCTTACACAGTCTCCCAGTGTGTACTGTAGTGGCTGTGGCGGTGCAGGCCATACCCCTGCTAACTGTCCGAAGTTCACACGGGATCAACAGGGCCAAGGGTATGGGGGTGGAAGTTTCAGCAGTCAGATGACTTCTGGAGCAAGTGGCAGTGGTTCAGATAATTGCTTTAAATGTGGTGAGGCTGGGCACTGGTCAAGAAATTGCCCCAGCACTAATGCCCCTCCTGCTTATGGAAGCAATACTAATGTTCCACCTGCTTATGGAAGCAATATGTCTTCAAATCCCGGGAGATTCGGGAATGTTCCGAGGCAGCAAGTTGGGGGCTTTTGAGTTCGGGCAAACAGTGAAAGCTTAAGTTGTTATGGCCTTGGCCGATCATTCACGGTAAGTCTATAGCTATTAGTATAATGCGTTCAGGCTCATGGCTTGTGAATCTCAATCTTGACTCAGGTTCTTGTATATTAGTGTACTTTGTTTCATTTGTTTTTTTTTGCTCCTGTTTAGTTGGTTTTTTTCAGTCAATGATTTTTGGGGTTCAGATTTTGTGTAATATATAGTGGGGAACGCATCATCGAATAATTATTATTGTTGTTGTTTCTGGTTCTTTATATGCCTTGGTTTTCCTAGAGCAAGGGTATCCTTTTGGAAATGTGAATTTTAATGCTCTCTGCGGTTTCAAAAAAAACTCTCCTCTCAAGACTCAATTAGAGTAAGAGTAATTACTTTAGACTTCATTTGGTACACAGAATTCAAACTATAGAATTAGAATTTTAACAATAATTTCAATTCCGTTATTTGGTAGCATAAAAGTATGCGGACTTTGATAATACCTGGAATTTAAAAAGAACTCCGGAGAATATGTTAAGTGAATAATTGGAATATTAGAAAGAGTAAATTCCCAAAATAGTCCTTTGTAATAAAGTATTTTCTCAATTCAATCCTCAAGAAGTTTTAATTACTTACATGGTTTTCTATAATTGAGATTTATTCTCAAGATAGTCCTTCGTAAATAATCTTATTCAAATTATGATTAATTGGAGATATTTTAGTTTTTTGATCATCCAAATTTAAAGTATGTTCTTAAAACAGTTATTTCTGTACAACTAAACGAAAAATTGAAAAAATACATTGACTATAAATTATTTATGAATTATTTAAAACTTATAAAAATCTTTTAAATTTCAAATCAAACACACATCTTTAATTAGAAAAAATCATTTTGGGAAAGCAATTCATTATAAATAATCATTTTAAGAATTAATTCTAAATTTAGCGGATAAAAAAACCAAAATAGTCTCAATTAATCCTCATTTGAGTAACATTATTTACGAAGGACTATCTTGGGAATAAATCTCAATTATAGAGGACCACGTAGGTAATTAAAACTTATTGAAGACTGATTTGTGAAAACATCTCATTACAAAGGACTATTTTGGGAATTTACTCTATTAGAAATCACCCTAAATAGAACTATAAACCATAGAGAAAAGTATCAAAATATGATTTTTCATGTTTTTTCCCGAAATAAGACTTTGCACTGTGGTAATGTGGCACTGTACATGTGGATATTACTATACTTTTTTGGTAATATACATGACCATGTTTGGTAATGTAAGTCTTATTTTGAGAATAAAAATATGAAAGTTCTATTTTGATATATTTTCAATGTTTTAGTTATATTCTAATTTTTCTCCCCTGATTTATAAAGTTGAACACAATAGACTAAATAGAAGTATATCAATTTTTCTATCTTTTGAATGATATGCCCCACCGTTTTAGGAAGGTACAAGGAGGTGTTTGGTTGTATGGTTTGCCTGAATTTGAAAGGTATTGTTTTAAATTTGGCATGTCAACTTTTATTTTTTGTCGTTCCACTTTTACATATTAAACTTTGTGCTAAAGAATAGAGAAATAGATACGGAGTATATGATAAGGAGTACTTTTGTTTTCAATTTCATTGTTTCTTAATTTGATATTTAAAAATTATATTGCTCATAAGTTAATCACCTTATTGTTTCTTAAGTTACACGGTATAATATTTATGATTTTTATTCAGGTCATTTAAAAAAGAGATACTCCGTAATTATATAAACCCTCTTGTGGTATCTCAAAAATGCATAGTACCCCGATAATCTAAAAAATGCATCGTACCCATTCTAGCGATGTGATTCTTGTACAAATGCCCCCTCCGTTATATTTTCATTGGAGTTTAAAGTCAAAATGTGGATGAAAATTATTTTTATTTTTTAAAGCCAATAAATGACTATCTAACCATTTTAACCCATAATTTCAGTGTCTTCGATCCAAGACTAAGGCACTGTTCCGTTCAACTTATTTTTTCTTATTCTTATTAAAATCAGATCAGATCAGACCAGATCAGATCGGATCAGATCAGATCAGATCAGATCCAATCAGATCAGACCAGACTAGATCAGATCAGATCCCATAAAGAATTATTATTATTGTTGTTGTTATTATTATTATTATTATTATTATTATTATTATTATTATTATTATTATTATTATTATTATTATTATTATTATTATTATTATTATTGATGGGTGTATTCCACCCAAGACCGGTCAAAATAAAGGGCCAAATAGTTGACCGGTCAAAATCTTAAACTATTTCTCCTATTTGATTTTTTTCAACCAATTAAATTAGATAAGCAATAGTTACTAGTGAAATAAAAATTGCATTACATACTAATAATAAAATATTTGTTTGGAAAGCAAATGTGATAAAACTATTTTTATAAGGGCAACTTATGTAAATGAGACTTAAACATATCACTTTTTCCTAAATACGACTAATCCTATCCATTTTAACGTTTGGCAAAGGAATGTTCTAAATGCCCTACCTTTGAGAAAAATGATATGTTACACAGTTCAAGTAGAATAAGAAGCGCCACATTAGTCAGATCTGACAGATCAACCTCGTTCGTATCACCCACTCCTGCATCATTGTGCCTTAAATAGAAGTGTGACGGGGAGAGTACTTTATATTAAAAATCATTTGAATCGGTCTGGTCCTCTATATATTTGAGAATTTCAAATCGGTAAATCTATCCATATCTAATTCTAAAAAGCTTTGAATATCTAAATTTTGAATGTTCCACTCATACCCATTCTCTCTCACCTTTCAATTCTATCTCCCAAATTTAATTGATTTCAGGGCAAACAAATTCAATCAATATCAACTGAATTTAGAGGATGAAATTGAAAAAAATGAGACATGAGTTTGGATCAATTGGAAGAGTTACCCCGGATGGGATTAGTAGGGTAGGAATATAAATTTTGGTAGGGTTCCCATGACATTGTTGTTGATAATACAGCGGGAAAAATAAAATAAAATAAATCCGAACTTATAAAACGTTCGGATTTTACAACAAATTAAAGAAAAGAAAAAGATGGAATCTTCGGATGCTTGAACGGACGCAAGAACACGAACGGACGGAGAGAGGAGGTAAGGAAAGCGGAGTCGCCGGAGCTTTCCTTAAGGTAGTATTGCCCGCCTCCCGCACTGGCAAACGTGGGCAATCTCCTCCCAGGATAAAACTGCAGCGTGCTAAGTCTAGAGCGGTAGAACAGAGCACCGGCGAATGAGAATGACAGAGAGTTATCGCCGGAGAAGATGATAGGAGATGGGGAGTAGTCGGAAACTTTAGAAAATGCAGAGAGAGAGAGTTGTTTCGAGTGTGTTTTATCCCTGCAACCGAGCCCTCCTTTTATAGGAGAGGAATTGGCTCCTCAATTGGACTGGACAAAGTTACCGAGGAGACTCAGGCCAACCCTTCGCCTCCATGCATGCATGCTTTAACTCCGTACACTTCGTTAATAACGAAGTGTACACGCGCGTTTTGTTTTGGTCTCGTAAAAAGCTAGCCCCGCCACGCCGCAGACGCGGGCGCGACGTGCCCCGACCCGACCCGACGCGCCGAGCCAGACGGGCGGCGGCGCGCGAGGAGTCCTCTTCTTGTTCCTTTCATAAGCTCAATTAAGTGCTCAAGTTTAAATATGAGAATGTGAAAGGTTCAAGATCCGGTGTGGGACAATAACTTTTACTCTTCCCATGTGTTCGACTTTGTGAATTAATTTCTCATTCACCCGAGCACCATTTTTGGCGTGTAATGTGTCGAAACACTTATTTCACTTACGAGATTAAACGTCCATAATTATTTCAGAAAATAATTTTGTGGGCCCTACCGAATTTATGTCCAAAAAATGTCCAATTTACTTAAAATTTCCAACAATTGCCCACACGAATGAAAATTAATTCATGCAACTAGCAATAACTCTGAAGTTGAAACCTGCAAGAGTAGGTAGGTTTTATGCCCTTGAACCTACTCCTTGTAAAGTATACCTTCTCTACTAGCTGTTCAGTAGAACGTGATGTCTTTGAATTGTACTGCCGTTTATGTAAACGACGATATACAATACACAAGTTTCAACCAACCATCATTCCGTTCTCATGGGTGTGCCTATTATGGTCGTGGAACACGCTTCTGGTTCTGCGAGAGTGTCAGACAGGATTAGCCCGAAATCCTTCTGTTGAAGCGACCGCACTTCACTCTTACATAGGTGGTTCTTCTAAGAGTATCCTGATTACTTCACTTGGACCTCTTTGTCCATAGTTCAAGAATCATTAAAGCGTCATGTTATCCTCATCGTTTTCGGGAGTCACTATATCTCAGTAGGAACGGAGGGGTGTTAAGTCGGTGATCCGGCTTGCCCCACAGTGACCGTGCTTCGTTCCACAAGTAGGTTGTCCCATTGAACCCAGGTACCACCTAGGTTGGGTTTTCCTTCATGGAACGTTCCCAGCACAAGGTAGGGCTTTCAGACCCATTCCTACTACTAACTTCTCATGTTGCTTATTGGTTAACCCTTTGGTTAATGGATCCGCTAAATTATCCTTTGACTTGACATAGTCAATCGAGATAATACCCGTGTTGAGAAGTTGCCTAATGGTTGTGTCTACAGCGAATGTGCCTAGACTTACCATTATACAATTTGTTCCGAGCTCGTCCTATTGCTGACTGACAGTCACAATAAATGCAAATAGGAGGAACTGGTTTTTCCCAGTTTGGAATATCCTCAAGTAAATTCCGAAGCAACTCGGCATATTCTGCACACTTATCAAGTGCAATGAACTCAAATTCCATGGTGGATCTGGCAATTAATGTTTGTTTTGAGGATTTCCAAGAAACAGCTGCACCGGCTAACATAAAGATAAATCTGCTTCTGGATTTTGAATCCTTATTGTCCGCAATATAATCCAATTGGCATCAGTGTACCCTTCCAGCACGGGTGGATACCTGCCATAGCATAGGCTATAATCTCGAGTATACCGAAGATATCTCATCACTCGGACTATGGCCTTCCAGTGCTCAGCACTCGGATTGCTGGTATACCTACTTAGTTTTCTAATGGCGCAAGCCAAATCAGGCTGTGTGCAACTCATCAGATACATCAGACTTCCGATAACTCTAGCGTATTCTGTCTGAGAATCGCTACTTCCTCGGTGTTTACCAAGGTGAACATTTACGTCTATCGGCGTCTTAGCTATCTTCGTATCATCCTTATTAAATTTATCAAGGATTTTGTCAATGTAGTGGGATTGGCTCAAGCTCAGACCATCAAGTCTTCTTATTATTTTGATTCCAAGAATCACATTAGCCAGACCCAAATCTTTCATATCGAATCGTGCGTTCAACATGTCTTTGGTGGACTTAACCATCCTATCGTTGCTTCCAACAATGAGTATGTCGTCTACATACAAACATAAAATGACATACCCTTCCGATGTGTCTTTAAAGTATATGCACTTATCCGACTCATTTATCTTAAAACCATTGTTCATCATTACCTCGTCAAACTTATCATGCCATTGTTTTGGCGCTTGTTTAATACCATATAATGATTTCACAAGTTTGCAGACCTTCTTTTCTTGGCTTGGAACCTTAAACCCTTCAGGTTGTTCCATATAGATTTCTTCATCTAGTTCGCCATTTAGAAAAGCTGTCTTTACATCCATTTGGTAAACATCCAGGTTTCGTAAGGATGCGAATGCGATGATCATTCCTATCTTAGTCACATGCGCGTAAGTATCAAAGTAGCCCTCGCGTTGGCTATACCCCTTAATCACAAGTCTAGCTTTGTACTTGTCAATGGAGCCGTCAGGCTTCATTTTCCTCCGAAAGACCCATTTAGAACCTAATGGTTTACACCCCGGAGGGAGATCAACCAATTCCCACGTGTGATTCTGAAGAATAGAATCAACTTCACTTTTTATGGCTTCTCGCCACTGAGGTCCTTCAGCTGAGGTTACGGCCTCGTGATAGGTTCGTGGTTCCTTTTCTACCAAACAGGTTAGAATATCGGGTTCATTTTCCATTAGAAATGACAAAGTTACTTTGTCAAATTCTATCAAATATGTTATGAACTCAGAACCGAATGTCTTTTCAGTTCGTATTCTTTTACTTCGTCTTAGTTCAGTCTCATGTTCGACTTCATCATCGTCATCAGAATCACCGTTATCCATCATATCAGTATGAGAACGTTTGGACGAACTAGCTTCGCCACTTGACTTGCACGGAAAAATGTGCTCGAAAAACGTTGCATTCCGTGACTCAATGATTGTGTTCTTGTGAATTTCAGGATTATCTGATTTGTACACCAAGAACCGGTATGACGTACTATTGTACCCGATGAAGATTCCATCAACTGTTTTTGGACCGATCTTCATCTTCTTCGGTGGTGGTGCAAGTACTTTCGCGAGACACCCCCCACACTTTGAGATACTTATAGGAAGGTTTCCTATTATGCCAAAGTTCATACGGAGTTTTGTCAAGTATTTTATTTAGTAAATAATTACTTGATAAAACAGCCTCCCCCCACATGCTCTGGGGTAATCCAGAACTAAGTAGCATCGCATTCATCATGTCTTTCAGAGTGCGATTTTTCTGCTCGGCTACGCCGTTTGACTGCGGTGTATATGGTGGGGTTACTTGATGCACTATTCCGTGTTGTGCACAAAACTCATTTAGTGGAGCATCATACTCACCACCTCTATCGCTTCTCAATGCTTTGATTTTGCGATTGAGTTGATTTTCCACTTCATTCTTATGTTGAATAAAAGTGTCTAACGCTTCGTCTTTACTTTTCAGTAAATAGATATAACAATATTTCGTGTTATCATCGACGAAGGTAATAAAGTACTTATTACCCCCTCTCGAAGGCGTTGTTTGAAAATCACACAAGTCGGTGTGAACCAACTCTAGAGGTTGAGTGTTTCATTCGATCGTTTGAAACGAACTTCGAGTTGACTTTGCCTCAACACAAGTTTCACACTTGTGAGTTAAGTCAATACTAAACTTAGGTATGTGTTCCATGTTAATTAATTTCCGAATAGATGCATAATTAACATGTCCTAGTCTACCATGCCATAAACTAGAAGACTCACACACATAAGCAACAGGATTTTTATTGATCTTTTCATGAACAGTCATTACATTAAGCTTGACAAGCCCATCTGAAATATAACCTTTCCCAATAAAAATCTCTTTCTTGGACAAGATTAGCTTGTTTGATTCAAACACCATCCGAAAGCCGTGTTTGATCAGCAATGACCCTGATACTAAATTCTTGCGAATATCTGGCACATAGAGCACGTCGTTAAGCGTTAACTCTTTGCCTGAGGTCATTTTCAGCTTAATCTTGCCCACCCCTTGAACCTCTGATTGGGCCGAGTTGCCCATCCAGACCTTGTCACCAGAGGTCTCTTGGAAGTCGTGAAACATGCTCCTGTTTGAGCAAATGTGGCGTGTGGCTCCTGTGTCCACAAACCATTCCCTGGGGTTTGACCCAACGAGATTCACCTCGGTGACAACCGCACAGAGATCCAAGTTGTCGAGCTCTACACACATGGCTTCGGTGGTTTTCTTCTTGCCCTTTTGCGGCTTCTTTTTCCTACAGTCAGAGGAACGATGTCCGGTAATGCCACAATTGTAGCATTTCCCTGCAAATTTAGAAACACCACCCTTAGGAGCTATTTTCTTCTTGTCCTTCCCGCCATGTGAAGAGCCCGACGGATGTTCTACAACATTCGCCTTTGCCCCTCCACCTCTTCTGGCAAGCCTTTCCTCTCGGATCCTCAACCGCGTGAGCAGTTGCTCCAGATTTAGCTCCGTTCTTTTGAGCTTGAGGTCGGCTTGGAAATCTTCCCACGACTGAGGAAGTTTGTGGATGATGGCTGCCACTTGGAAGGCCTCGCTGACGCCTACTTTCTCTTCATTACATTTGTTGAAGATTAGCGTAAGCTCCTCAGCCTGGGCGACAACAGATTTGCTGTTGACCATCTTGTAGTCCAGCATCTTCCCGACGATGAACTTCTTTGTGCCGGCATCTTCAGCTTGATATTTTTTGTTCAAGCGGTTCCAAAGCTCCTTGGCAAGCTTTGCACCGGCGTAGACGGGGTACAACGTCTCGGCCAACCCCTCGAGGATAATGCTGATGGCAAGATAATTATTGTGGTACCAGGCTTGGTTCACCATCGCCACGAGGGGGCCATTGGCTTCGTTGGGCTGGGGAGGATCTTGCTGCAGGTACTCAGCAAATCACAGGACGATCAAGAAGAACGTCATCTTTTGTTGCCACATTTTGAAGTTCGTACCATTGAACTTCGGTGGCCTTTGGACCGAACTAGCGGGCACAGAAATCGGCCCAACTGCATTGGGCGTGTGGAGGAAAGGCCCGTTGGTCGTTCAGTGAGGTCCAACAAATGGATTGACCGGTGCGGGGAAACCCGCGTTTGGTCCAAAGTTGACCGTCGAGGCCGGAGCCATAGTTGGCCCAAGAAATGGGTTCGAATTGCCGACGGGGTAATCCCCCGTGGTTTCGAGCCCGGGAATGGGTCGTGGGGCCGACCCGAAGATCAAGCTCGGCATCGAGAAGGAGGTCATGGTGGCGGCCCCCACACTTGACCCGAAGGGCAGCGGTGAGGAAGGTACAACCATGGCGACCGAGGTGGTTTCGACCGAAACTTCGGAACTCATTCCGTTGCTGGAGGAACTCGCGATGCCGAATCCGAACTTCATCAATACTACCTTAAGATTGTTGATAATACAGCGGGAAAAATAAAATAAAATAAATCCGAACTTATAAAATGTTCGGATTCTACAACAAAATAAAGAAAAGAAAAAGATGAAATCTTCGGATGCTTGAACGGACGCAAGAACACGAACGGACGGAGCAAGGAGGTAAGGAAAGCGGAGTCGCCGGAGCTTTCCTTAAGGTAATATTGCCCGCCTCCCGCACTGGCAAACGTGGGCAATCTCCTCCCAGGATAAAACCGCAGCGTGCTAAGTTTAGAGCGGTAGAACAGAGCACCGGCGAACAAGAATGACGAGGAGTTATCGCCGGAGAAGATGATCGGAGATGGGGAGTAGTCGGAAACTTTAGAAAATGCAGAGAGAGAGTTGTTTCGAGTGTGTTTTATCCCTGCAACCGAGCCCTCCATTTATAGGAGAGGAATTGGCTCCTCAATTGGACTGGACGGAGTTACCGAGGAGACTCATGCCAACCCTTCGCCTCCATGCATGCATGCTTTAACTCCGTATGTACACGCGCATTTTGTTTTGGTCTCGTAAAAAGCTAGCCCCGCCCCGTCGCGGCCCCGCCCCGACGCGCGCATGACGTGCCGAGCCGGACGGGCGGCGGCGTTGGCAGCGCGTGAGGAGTCCTCTACTTGTTCCTTTCATAAGCTCAATTAAGTGCTCAAGTTTAAATATGAGAATGTGAAAGGTTCAAGATCCGGTGTGGGACAAGGACTTTTACTCTTCCCATGTGTTTGACTTTGTGAATTAATTTCTCATTCACCCGAGCACCATTTTTGGCGTGTAATGTGTCGAAACACTTATTTCACTTACGAGATTAAACGTCCATAATTATTTCGGAAAATAATTTTGTGGGTCCTACCGAATTTATGTCCGAAAAATATCCAATTTACTTGAAATTTCCAACAATTGAAACCCCATATCATGGAATAACCCGTAGCGCTCCGGTTTTCCGTTCGTAAAATTGATGTTTTTACCCCTAACCTTAATAAACCTTCCAACTAACCCGTAGATCATCCGATACATTGCCCATGGATCCGTCCCGTATCAATTTTTATGATCTGAGCACGCTATATGTCCCGGGAGTAAATATAAACAAATAAACGCTGTATTCTTCAATAACATTCTCCGTAACATTGACGGCCATAGAAGACTCGAAGAAGTTCCTCGGATCACTTCTTCCGTGGCTGGCTCCCTTTAGGTTATGCCGTTTCCCCTCCAGGTCTCCTTTTCTCTCTCACTCCCTCTACGTTTCATACGTACGTTTCTTTCTAAGCTTTTGCGTGTGAACGTGTGCCATCTTCTTCTTCTTCTTCTTCTTATGTTCTTTTGGATCGATTCTTTTATTTTTGGATTCGATGGATGAATTGTTTTTTTCTTTTGAATCTGGGTTTTCGATTATTATTTTCTGTGAGTCTCGTATTTTTGTTTATGTTTGATTCTTGAGATGATTTTTATGTCTTAAAACTTTGACATGATATTATTGTGGCGGTGTGCAATCTTTGATTTGATCTGTAGTTTCATGGCTCTGTTTTTGTTTATTCGACCTAATTTTGTCTGGGTTCTTTCTGATATGTATTTTTGTTTGATTAGATCACCTCATATAGCTTCTAATCCAAACATCTTATGCCCAATTTTATCATGTTTTTGCCAACGGTTGGTTTAAAAAAGACCTATTTGTTGATTATTTCAAGCCTTGACGAGGAGATCAGTGCCAGAACGGTTAAAAAGATTTATTGTTAGCTGAATTTCTTTGTTTTAAACTCGATACTCGTGTATGTGTTTTTGAGCTCAATTGCTTATTCCCTGGATCTCCAAGATAATATGATTGGCTCAGTTGCTTAGTCCTTGACATTTCAGGTTGTCTTAGACTACAATTCCAAGGGATTCATAATACTTAGGATATGGAGCAAATGTTCCTCTGGTCAAATTGCTGCATGCATCGAGTTTTGTCATTCCAGGAAGTGCTTGATTGGCGGTTTCTCAGCGGCAGAGTTTTTCTTGTTTCTTTTGTCAATTGCACTTAGTCAGGAGATTTCTTTAAATAATATGCACAAGAGGCCAAATGCAAGTTCATTATTTTATTAAGTGTGAGAAGCAGCACCCTTCCCTTCGTTATTATGTCATTTGCGACTCAATTTTATCATCTTGCAATTCATTATTGCCACTGCTTTCCTAATACAACAACCATTTGAGATCTTTTCAAGTTTTTCATGTGAGGTATGGCTTCGTTTTCCTATTTCTTTTACAAAAATTGAGATCAAAGACACCTTTATTCTTATACCTGACTTCTCTATCATCTCTACTACAGGAATAAAATTCTCTGAGAGAATCAATGAGGTTATTTAATATCACAAAGACTCAGAGTGCCTACAAATTTGCTTAATGTCATAGCTTCTTAGAGATCTGAATTGCTTGGAGTATTCAGTTCACTCGGCTGAAGAATCTACATCAGCAGTGCCTAGTATAAATGAGAGGTTGTTTTGTTGTTTGAGAAGTCTCAATACAACGTGCAATGAGCTGACAATCAAACCTGTTTTCTTGGGCTGCATTATGTTTCAGCTAGGTTGTGAGTGATATCATGATGCTTAACAGTCGTACTCCTTGCGGTACCTTGTTTCCGCCTCCTTGTGTTCCCGGTCTCTGTTATGAGTTATTTGATGTGGAAACTATTATGGTTGTAAAGCTCCTCCATAATCCTGCTGGTTTTATGTGGAAGAGTATACAAACTTAACAGTGAATTTTCTGAAACCAGCTAGGCCAGTAGTTATTTATATCTGTTGTCTTCTCCAAACATCTATTAAAGAAAGAAATACATACACTATTTGTGTGTTCTCTCTCTTTCCAATCTCCACCAACTGTACTGTGCGTTGGTCAATAAAAATGGAAAGGTGAGTTGGTTAGCTTAATGTTCATGCCCCTCTCAATTGTTTTATGTTTTTCTTTTTTGGTTGATTTAATTTACAAATCATGCATTTAAGCAGGTATAAAATAATTACTGAAGTTGGTAATGGTACTTTTGGGCGTGTGTGGCGTGCCCTAAATACTCAAACTGGTGAAATGGTATGGTATTTTGGTTTTTAAGAGTTGAGCATTGTTTTATGTTTTCAATCAAACTAAGCCCTTGCCTTTGAACAGGTAGCAATTAAAAGGATGAAAAAGAAGTATTATTCATGGGAAGAATGTATGAACTTAAGAGAAGTTAAGGTAAAATTCTGTCCTTTTTAAGCATTTATTGTAATTTATTTAGATTATGCATATAACATGAAGTTTTCCTTGGCAGTCTTTGAGGAGAATGAACCATCCTAATATTGTGAAGCTAAAGGAAGTGATCAGGGAAAATGACACTTTATTTTTTGTGTTTGAATACATGGTATGGTATATTAAACTGTGTCCTTTTAACCTTTTTATATTGAAAAACACTTGCACATTGGTCTCTTTAACTTCTTTCCAGGAGTGCAATCTATATGAACTTATGAAAGACAGAGGGAAGCTTTTCTCAGAAACTCAAGTGAAAAAATGGTGCTTCCAAGTATTTCAAGGTCTTGCATATATGCATCAACAGGGATATTTTCATCGCGACCTTAAGCCTGGTAGGTCTCATCTCATAGATAAACCAGTCTATTTTAGTTAGGTACTACACATATACGGAATACATAACTCTGTTCTTATGCTGATCATTTTTTGCCTTGACTGTCGAGAGTAGGGAAAGCTGACATTGCAGAAATGTTTACACCTTTGACTTTAGAGTTGTCAATGTGTCAGATTTTGATGTCCACCACTACTGTTCATTTGTGAAATGAATACAGTCACTGTTGTCTGTAATTTGTAATGATTCCTAAAATTCAAGACCTGGTTGTGTTTTGCAGTCACTACGGTGACAAATAAGTTGATAAGATTGTCAGTTCCTCCAACAAATGGTTATTACTCAATAGTAATGCATAAATAATTGCTATTTTTCTGCCATGTTTAAAAAAATGTTTTTTTTCAGAATCTTTGTTCTCTATTGATTGATTTGTTGGTTAACTCTATGGTTTCATATTTGCTTGTATGCAACTGTGTACTTGGCGTGATGTCTGTGCTCATAGAATTTGTTGGTTGCACAGAGAACTTGTTGGTGTCGAAGGATGTCATTAAAATAGCTGATTTTGGTCTTGCTCGTGAGGTCAATTCTGAACCACCGTATACCGAATATGTTTCCACACGCTGGTAAGTTACCCTTCACTATATTCTCTTGAAGTATATAAAAGAATAGAAATGACTTTATTATGTTAACTGGGAAGTGGAAGCTCAAGTGTATAAATGCAGGTATCGTGCTCCCGAAGTTCTTCTCCAGTCTCCAACTTATGGGTCTGCTGTTGGTATGTGTTAAATTAGATGAGACTTATGAACCGTGACCGTTAGAAGGCAGTTTAGTCTCCTTGGTTTTTTCTCTCCAGTGTATGATGAGATTCTGGTATGATTTGTTTTCAGATATGTGGGCAATGGGTGCAATAATGGCCGAAATGTTCACTCTTCGCCCTCTATTTCCAGGCTTGAAGTATATCTTTTCTCCTATATTACTCACCTTTTCGTTTTTCTGTTTGTGACACTCAGAGAGGTATTATTGTTGATGCAGTGAAGCAGATGAAATTCAGAAAATATGCAATGTAATGGGAACCCCAACAAATACAGAATGGTCAGATGGTCTTGAGCTTGCAAATGGTGTTGGATATCAGTTCCCAAAGGTTAGTGGTTTATCTTTGTTGAATCCAAAAAATCATTAGGCTGTGTTTGTTCGTCCGTGAAATTCATTGATAGCGTCTACATTCACAATGCAGGTTGTAGGTGTACATCTCTCAGTGCCAATTCCTTCTGCTAGTGAGGATGCAATCAATCTTATTACTGTGAGTACTCACTCCTTTCTTATGTTTTCTTGGGGAGATAAATTCAGTCTGGTTATTGAAAAAACATTCTGCTTGTAGTTTCTTTACACATGTTAATTTTTGTGCAGTCACTTTGTTCATGGGATCCTAGCAAGAGGCCCACAGCTGTGGAAGTTCTTCAGCATCGTTTCTTTGAGGTCGCATACCCGTCTAGTGAATTGTTTTTTCGTAGTAGGGAACCATGTTCTCTGTTATACTCCCTTCGTCCCAGTTTATTCTTCCCATTTGGAAGAACGTGCAAAATCTCCTCTTTTAAAATGATTTTATTTATAAATTGGTATAAAAATATAAAGTACGTAGTACAAATTACACCATTCAATACTACATCAAATGTTCTGCAAAACAAGGGTAACAAAAATATTTTATTTTATCAAATGATCAATGAAAACATTTATACAAACATAAGTCATTCAGAGGCCATAATATTAAGTGGGAAGATTAATTTGTGACAGAGAGAGTATGTAATTGTCATAAATTGAGAGATATTCTCCAATTTGTTTGTAGGTATAAAAAAACAAGTGAAATATATATTGGAGCAACTTTTTCATTTGTATATGTTTATTTTACTTTACAATCATTATGTAATTCTCCATGTGGCTTTATTGTGTGATGCAGAGTTGCTTCTCTGTTCCACCATCTATACGCGCTAAAGCATACCCCCCAAGAGCACCTAATGCTGGTTTGTTTTCTTCACTCACTCTAAACAGCCTTAATTCCACCCCACCCCACTACCCCCTTTTCCCAAGTCTCATTAAGAACAGTCTTTCCTAATGTTGATCGTTGTTACTATATGCTAGCAGTAGGGCGCTATACCCCTGGTTTCGCTACATCTGGTGTGAAGCCCACATTGGAACAAAAACCCAAGAGGTGGTCCTCAGCCACTATATCATCCAATTCAACTCCCACTGGTGACCTCTGTGCTGTTAGATCACATCTGCCCTTGAGCACAGGTAATCCATAATGTTTTAATTATTAAATTTTAGTTGGCCAGCTAAAGTGCATGTGGTCCAGTGGCGTCACTTTGGGTCTCCCAAATGGGAGGTCACTTGTTGATAGCTCTCTGAGCTTCAATAGGTTGAGGAGAAAAGTATGAATAGATTCAACATTGTAACCGAGTTATTAACAACAACAACCCAGTTGGATCCCCCGAGAGTAAGATTAAAAAAAAATTAGTGATAATTTTTTTTAAGTGGGCCATAGCTAGAAGCAACATGTAAAGAAGGTCCACTCTTAAGTCCCATCCCCTGCCACGTCAACTCACATTTTCATATGTATTCATAATTTTAGTGGATCTCTTTATATAGAAGATTATAAACATTTCTTCATTTGAACTCCTAAAGAATTGTAAAGCTGACTTGTTATTCTTTTCAAAGGTGCTCAAAGGAAGTTGGAGATGAACTGTCAAGTACGTTTCTTTTACCCTTATGTTTCCGGCTTGGCTAGTTACTAGTAGAAGTTATTGAAAACAAATGTTTATCTCTGATTTCTTCTTTTATTGTTAACTTCTTGCCTTCTTGGTCAGAATCCAACAAAGATGGTTAAGCCCCCTGCAGAATCAATGAAGCAACAACAGCCGAAATATCGACCCTCAGCAATGAAAGTTCCAAGTAAGTTAGCAAAAAACACAGATCAAATTTATGGTGTATGTGTATTTAGTAGTAGCTAGATTGTCTATTTAATTTACCATTTCATTGTGGTCTTATGATTATTTTATAGACTTAAATATGCTTTAAAGAAAAGAAAAAAAATCTCTGCACATATACAGTAGCATTTTTTATAAAGTTCCATAATTAGAATTTAGAAATAAATGGGTGATGTGCTTTCATCAACAGCGGAAAATCCCAGGGGATGGTCAAATGCAAGCGTGAAGCATTCAAATACGAGCTTTGGTTCAGCCAGACCTGCTTTGAAGCAGCAGCAGTTTCCTCAGCCTATGAAGGCTGGGGGCTGGCAGGGTAACCCTGCCATGTTCCCCAACTCTAATGATGTTCTTCCTGGAAGAACTTACCCCAGGAAAGTGGCGGGATGAAGATTGTCTCTATATTAGCTGAGGTTTTTCCCTTTTCCCTTTTGGTGCGAATTATGTGATTGCGATTTGTGGATGTGTTGGGTATTCGACGCTACATGTTTTTCATTTACTAGTTTTTACTGACAATGTGGTTGTTCTATGTCTACCATGGCGCACTTAATATGGAGAAATAAATTCCTGCCTCGTTCTCTTATGTTTATGTTGTTATAGTTATTGGGAAACGATTCGCGTGCCAGTTTGACATCAATAGCCTCAGGGCTGTGCGAGGTGCTCAACCTGAATATGTCACGAATCGTGACTTTTTAGAGCATAATAGGAGAGTAAACAAAACACAACTTAGAATGTACTCACTCCGTTCCATTGTTTTTGTCCATTTTTTTCTTTTTTGGCTGTTTTGAGGAAGGGTAAATTAGTATTTTTGATATAATTTATTTGCCAAATAAGGAAATTGGGAGTAAGATATGGGACGGACTAAAACGGAAAGTGAGAACAAAAATATGGATAAAACATGCCTGAGAATGAAATACATAGCCACAAAAGTCAGTCAGTCGTCACACTCACTTGAGAGAGTAAACAATTAAATAGTTACCTCTTAAAAAACGAACAAAAGCAGAAGGATCGTTTGTGATAATTCATAAGTAAATGTTTTTCTTAAAAATAAACCGTACGTTGTAGGTAGTAGCTATTGTGTGTAGTGTACGTACATGGCATGCGAAATTGCGAAGCGATCAAACATTACTACCTGCATTGAAACTATGCAAATTGGGTCGAAAAGATTAGAACAAATTTGTGTGGTGTGTGTGTGTGTTTGTGTCTCAAAAGATAATGTATATAGAAAGTGTCCCACATGCGTGCCATAGGACTATAAGGAGTATTCAGTTATTAACCGCTCCTTGTTCTCTTCCCACCACAGCTTGGCACGTTCCTCTCCCCATGTCGCTCGGCTGTAAGAGAGAGAGAGAGAGAGAGAGAGAGAGATTCATTAGAATCATAACAAATTAGCATGGAAGGGAAGCATAAAAATGATCATGAAATGTAAGTTAGGTTGCCTACTCAAATCGGATGCGGCGAAGCTTAAGAGGTTCACCGTAGAACTTGACGCATGTGATACGAATCCCAGGCTCAACTTCTTCAACAAACATTCGCTCCACTTCAGTACTTGCATAGCTCACATGGGATGTCGAAGAGGAGGCCACCGCGGTTTCATCCTCATATCCTCCTCCTCCCACCATCGACGAGCTCCTCGCTAATGATCCCCGCCGAGAATACGTGTTTTGTGAGTCTGTCTGCATGCCAACCAATTCGTTAATTCGCAACAGTTTCACCATCATTTAGCCTTAACATTTTCAAATCAATGTATACTCCATTAATAAATGAAAAGAAGAAATTAACTGGGCGGCACCTCCACGATACTACGAGTAGGAGTTGGATATGCTGCTTGGTTACTCTCCTGCGTGATATTGTAAAGCTGATTAACCCTGTCGTAATTATTTCCCCACCAAATCTGTGCATCCCACTTGTTAAACTTGCTCCGGCTGCAATTTGATTACAAATTGCGGGTTACCCCACTTACCTATTACCTCATACTCCCTCCGTCCCCAATTTGATTACAAATTGCGGGTTACGGAGTACAATTTCCTACTTTTTGAAATCATTTTTTTTACAAATTGTTATATCAATAAGATATAAAAATTACATATTAAAAAACTACGTCAAAAGTTCTACAAAACAAGAGGTGATAAGAATATTTTATTTTATCAAATACTTAATGAAATCGCGTAAACAAACAAAAGTTATCGAGAGGAGAGAAAAAAAATTGTAATCTATTTAGGGACGGAGGAAGTACTTTTTTAACTAATAGTCTAGCCATCTCCTGTCATTACATCAGGGGTATTTTTGGAGAGTAGACACTTAATTTTGCTAAAAGTCAAAGTAGGAAGGACTTTTAAGTCTTTACATTTATGTATTTATTCTTAGTTTAGAGCAGTGGTAGTACATACTCGAAACGGATTCGTTTGAGCTGATTCCCGCCCCCACAAGGAAGGGGTTGCAAAGTGAGGTGAACGCCGGGTTCCACCTCCGCCACCCACTCCGACTGCTCATCATCATCATCATCATCATACGCCACCCTGACGGAGGATGCATTGTATGATGATGATTCCCTCAGCGCCGCCGCCGCCGTCTCCCCGTCGCTGCCGCCGCCATCCCAGTCATTCCCGTTCCCTCCTCCTCCTCGGTCGCCACCACTTTTGTTTCTCTGGCACCGCAAACACTTCAAAACAAAAGCCATAATTTTCTTAAAGGTATTGGAGTCTAAAGTGGGGGTATAGTTTGAGCTTTCTTCATTACACAAACCCAAAAACCGTGACCAATTAAACCATCCCCATATGAAGTGTCATGTTTCTCCGAAATCCACACACTATATGCCTATATATATATATATATATATATATATATATATATATATATATATATATATATATATATATATATATATATATATATATATATATATATATATATATATATATATATATACACACATACATACATACATACATATATACTCCCTCCGTCCCAAAAAGATTTTTCTGTTTCATTTTTTGCGCATCCTATAAAACATTTCTATACATATCTAAAATGTCTAAAATTTACCACATTTCTCATTTATTGTAAGTAGAAGTTGTTTAGAAAGTTTTTTTTGCATTTGAGGCGGGATAGAAGTGTTTTATGAGACGCGCAAAAAATAAAACAGGATGATCTTTTTGGGACGGAGGGAGTATATATCTATTTATAGGGGATGAAAAAAAGAGGGATAAATAAAGGAAGCTAAGGAACTTAGCGAGAGACCTTGCGCGCGGGTCTTGTTGTCATCATTCTTATATATGAACTTCTAGCCTTTAATTTTTGGTCAAAAAAAGAAAGAAAGAAAGAAAGAAAGAAAGAAGAAGAAGAAAACGAAAAATCTTACTGTATTTACCCCCGGCCTCCCTCTGATCTGTCATCTGTCTAGGGCGCATTTACCTTTTGAACAAGACCTATATATAATAGTGTGTGCTTCTTCCTTCACCGATCGAAATGAGCAAGAAAAAAATCGAACCGAAAAAACCGAAACTGAATGTTAAAAAACCGAACCGAAAGATTATTATTTGGTGTCCACTTTGGTTTTCACTTCGAAAAACCGAATTGAACCGAATAAACTCAACTTTATTAGGTATTTCACTTTATTTATTTGAGTATATATGATATGCAAAAAAAATCATAGAAATATAAGTGCAAATAATTGATTCGTCGATTAAATTCATTTTTCTTAACTATTAAACATTTTAAATCATTTTGTACACTTTAAAAATCCTAGGAATATAAACCCTAGTATGAATATTGGCCACTATTACTATTTAAAAAAAATTAGCAAGAGATTTTGACTGGGGCCCCGTGAGCCCTAACGTAGATCCGTCCGTGAAAATTGATAAACGTTGATCATTAATTAAAAAATATATTAGATGTTAGTACAATAATAATTTTATTAGATTTAGTTTGTAATATGTTTTCGAATTAAAGTTTCATCTAATTAATATATCATATAATTTTATTCAATTATAGTTCAAAGGTTGATCCTGGTTTATCGCATAAAATCATAACTAGACTAATATTTGGGACGGAGGGGTATTCAATTTACATTGTAACTAAATATACATTATCTACAATTTGTGGTCAATATTTCTAAGATGAATTTTGTCACAACTTGTTTTATAGCTTAGAAGTTATGATGTACTCCGTACATGTGAAGGTGTATGTGAAGATTTATATAATTTATACTTTTCATTTTTATACCAATTTCTAAATAAAATAATATTAAAAGAATAAGATTTTAAAGATTTTTTGAAATGGGAAAATTTAATGGACGAAGGGAGTACATTATAATTAAATCAATAGTACTAAAAAATATCTATTTTGTTTTAATCGCGTGTGTCTATAACTTCTTTCGCCTCGTAAAACTTTTCAACTTTCTCATCTTACACGTCTTATAAAACATTTCAATTTGGCCTAAATGGGCACAATTACTATTAGTTTTCTTAAATCTAACGGATCATATCCCAACAACCTTATACGCCTATCCATTTTGACATTTTCCAAACCCTACTCATTTTAATTGTCTTTGTTTCACCTTGGTCAAACTTTTATAACTTTCTCTCTCAAAAACCAAAACAGAAAATGTTTTGCAAGATGAAGAAAATATCTATTTATTTAACACCATGGATTCTATGTTGACAATTTAGTTCCAAGTGTTCACATGTGTGTGATCCATTTATTTATATATACACCATGTCCATTTCCCTTGCAGTTTCAATGTCTTGCCTAAGTTCTCTTAGGTTGCCATGAGAAGTCAAATCCCTCTCTGAGAGGGCCAAAAGGTACATGTGACAAATAAAGAAACCATTAATTTATCACAATTTATTAGTATAAGCTACAAATTAATACTAGTAGAAAATCAGAGAAAGCCCTTCTGACAAACTTTTAACATTTTGAAAATGTTATCTAACGATAACATTTAGCTTTAACATTTTTAAAGTTATTCTATGCCATTGTAAAGTTAAAAGAAAACGTTAGCCCTAATTGAAAATATTGTTCTAAACCAGAAAAGAAACATCATGAAATGAATCAATCGTAGGTGCCCTCAGCGTCATATGGATCATCGTCCATGTTGAAGTCATCTTCATCATCATCAAAATCCTCATTCTTCATGTAGTCATCATCTTCATCGAATGAGTCTTCGTCATCTTCAACATTCTCTTCTCCATCTTTGTCGTCTTCGTCATCTTCGCTATCATTTTTCTTTCCATCTTCGCCATCGGAGTCTCGCTCGAACCTCTCAAAGTCCAGGTTTTGCAAATCTACACCTTCACTCCATCGAACCCTCTTTTTCGCACGGCGTATCATCATCATTTTGCGTTTGGCTGTTTCAGCAGGGTATAACGCAGCAGAAATCGTGATGAAGTCCGAGAGTTCAGATTTCACTTTGGATTTATTGGAAGTCATGTCCGAAAACCGTTCTATGTCCGTACTTTTTCTATCATTTGAAACACCGCTAGTTTCATCGCGGATAAAGTAAGGAGAGGATTTGCATTCCCTCATTATCTTCGAATATGCACTTCCTAGAGTTTTCTGTTCAGGAAAAACCATCGTT